TGCCAACAATGGCCACCACCATGCCATCCAGGCTCCACTCCATGACCTGCTCTCTTCTGCTTCCCAAAGTTGAGTTTTCTTCTTGGTTGTGGCTGTGCCAGATCCAGTGCCACAATGTGACAAGGAGTGGGGACTAAGCATTCGCTCAGTTTGGGCTGGGGAGAGTAAAGGGGCAGTTGTGGGAAACCCAGCAGCTGCTAGATTAGTCTTCTCTCCTCCTTGCCTCAAGAGCAAGGCAGCCCATGAGTTCCTTAAGAGTAGAGTCCAGACTTCCAACAGCCCCCCTGTTAGTCCCAGTGATCCTCCAAATAACCAAGGGAACTTGTCTCTGCCATGCACTCTCCAGGACTTAGGTGCCTTATCTGTGGCTCTCACTGTTCACTTCCTAGGGTGGGTATCTGTCCTTGAATTATCTGTTTTCTTCTGAGTCACCTCCAAGGGTCACAGGTTCCAAACCAGTCACTTTTCTTCCCTTCCTATCCAATCACATGTGCTTCTTTCTAACAACCTTGATTGCACAGGAGTCTTTCTTCCAGATTCCAGTTAATTTTCAGTGAAGATTATTCCACATGTAGATGTATCTTTGATCTGTCTGTGGGAGAAGGTGAGCTCCACATCCTCTTACTCCAACATCTTGATCTGACTCCCCTCACCAAAAACAATTTAAACCAGAAAATAGTAAATTTTTTAAAGTACCATAAGAAAAAAAAAAAACCTGCCAATGCTGAATTTTATATTTAGTGAGAATATCTTTGAAAAATGAAGATAAAATAGAGATTTGTTTTTTTAAGTACATAGAAGTTGAAAGAATTCAGCACCAGCAGATGTCACCAGTAGATTAAAGAGAATCCTTTAGGAAAAAAGAAAACAATATCAAATGTAAATCCGAATCTACAGAAAGGAAGGAAGCATAGTAGAAATGGTTCTCAGGAGAGAAAGATGAGAGACATCTATGCTGATTATATCTGAGACTCCAAGCTAAATCCAGATAACAATTTGAATACCTGGGATACCAGTGTTTCAGAAACCAATGAAGGAGACAATATGAACTCTCCTCCTCCCAAGGTCACACTGAGTCTACAGCTATATAGGAAACAATTCCCTCTTAAAAAACCCTAAAGGCTGGCTGAGCAATTATTACACATCAGGTAAATGAGAAGAAAACCACACAGAAGTAGAGAGGAGAGGCCAAGATACAATCTCACCATAAACCCTTATGCCAGCATGGCAATTAACAACCAGGAGAAAACTCAAAACCCAGAGCTTCTCTCCAAGTAGAAAAGGGTTTGAACTCCACTTTGGGAATCTCAACTTTTAGGACCTGTACCTAAGAGATAAGTCCCCCAAATATCTAACTTTGAAAATCAATGGGGCTCTTATCTCGAGACCCACCAGACTATAGTGATCCGTGTAGGCTCATGCACTCAGGTGTACCCATCCCAGGGCTTAGCTAAGAGGCAGCCAATCATGCCGACCTGCACTTATTTTAAAGTGCTGGCCTGACAGACAGGCGTCTAATTTAAAAAACACATCTAGGAGCCTGCTGGAACACTCTATGGGGACAAAGACTGATGAGTATCATCTTTGCACCCTCCCTTCGCCACCCTTCAGAGGACCAATATCTCCCAGGAGAGAGCTTTATATGCATTTGGTGCCCTGATTTTTATGGCTACCACCCAGGAGATGCCTCCCAAAGGCTCTGAAGACCAGGGTAACTTGCATTCCCAATAAAATGGGACTGTGATAATTGGTGTCACCCAGAAAGAAGCACATACCTGTCTTTTACATCAATTTATGTGTCTGCTGCCATCGGACACTTCTACATCACCTATCTCTGGAGGCTAGTGGGGCTCACACTGTGAGTCCCATGGTACTGTACTAAATGGAGAAAGAGTCCTTTACCAGCAACAACCCCCAGGGCACAGCAACAGAAAGAGACCCAGGGGTGTGGTCTTTATGACTGCAGCCTGAGGGGCATGATTCTAATTGAATATGCATCTAGGGGCTGACTGTAATCCTTTCCAGAGGCCTTGGAAGATGGGCATCAAGTTTATAATCTCCCCCTGCCACACTCCAGAGCAAGAGTGTTTCCTAGAGGTAAGTACTACACACAGCTGGTGCCCTCATTTTAATATCTAGTGCCTTGGTCTTTATAGCAACCTAGAGGATGCCCCTTGATCACTTGGCTCTAGTAGCCAGAGGGTCTTCCATTCCTGGATCCCATGGAAGTATGGAAATTAGAGAAAAAGTTCTTGGCAGGCTGCCATCCCCAGGATAATGTGCAAACAGCAGGTCGAGGCACATCACCTAGCCTTTCTGTAAAGAACTCTGCATGTCCTGGAGCTCTGGTCTGAGATTGGGAACACGTCCAGTGGACTACAAAACTGCTGTCAAGGAACATTGTCTATGGACGCCATCTTGGTACTCCCCTTCTGCCTTGCTCCAGCTCGCTAGTGTCTCCCAAAGTAGAGCCAAGACAGTTGTCTGGAACCCTGATTTTTATCCTAGCTCTCCCAGGGAAACCTCCAGATTGCCTAGCCAGTGGAACTTACACTTGTGGTCCCACATGACTATACATATTTGCATACTTTTAAAGCTGTTGCATAAGCATCTAGTCTACATGGCCTGAATCTAGGTGCTCAGAACCTCCCCTTAAGGACACTGACAGATCTTGGCACACCCTAAATGACTGGAAGCTCTTAAAAATATAATAGGCTGCTTGAACATGTAAGTCAATAAAGTTAGAACATTCCCTCTCACCATACACAAAAATAAACTCAAATGGCTTAAAGACTGAAATATAAGACAAGACTCTGAAAAGAAAACACAGGCAAAACATTCTCTGAAATAAATCTTAGCAACGTTCTCCTAGGACAGTTTACCCAGGCAATAGGAATAAAAGCAAAAATAAACAAATGGGACCTAATTAAACTTATAAGCTTTTGCACAGCAAAGGAAACCAGAAGCAAAACAAAATGACAACCTAGGGAATGGGAGAAAATATTTGCAAATGATGCGACTGACAAAGGTTAAATTTCTAGAGTATGTAAACAGCCCACACAACTTAGTAACAAAAAAACAAACAACCCAATCAAAAAATGGGCAGAAGACTTAAAAAGACATCTCTTCAAAGAAGACATCCAGAAGGCCAACAGGCACATGAATAGATGCTCAATATCACTAATTATTAGAAAAATGCAAATCGAAACTACAATAAGGTATCACCTCACATCAGTCAGAATGGCCATCATTAAAAAAGTCTACAAATAATAAATACTAGAGAGAGTGTGGAGAAAAAGGAACCCTCCTATACTGTTGGTGGGAGTGTAAATAGCTGCAGCCACTATGAAAGCCAGTACGGTGGTTCTGTTAAAATACTAAAAATAGACTTATATGACCCAGCAATACCACTCCTGGGCATATATCCAGAGAAAACTATAATTTGAAAGATGCACGCACCCCAGTGTTCACAGCAGCACTGTTTACAATAGCCAAGACATGGAAACAACCTAAATATATATCAACAGATGACTGGAGAAAGATGTGGTGTACACACACACACACACACACACACACACACAGAGGAATACTATTCAGCCATAAAAAGAATGAAACAATGCCATTTGCAGCAACATGGATGGACCTAAAGATTATCATATTGAATTAAGTAAGACAGACAGAGAAAGACAAATATCATATGATATCACTTATATGTAGAATGTAAAAAAATGATAAAAATTCTATTTACAAACCAAAAACAGACTCACGGACATAGAAAACAAACTATGGTTACAAAGGGTAAAGTGCAGGGAGGGATAAATTAGAGGTTGAGGATTAACAGATATAAATTACTATATATGAAATAGATAAACAACAAGGACCTAATGTATAGCACAGGGAATTATATTCAATTTCCTGTGAGAACATAATGGAAAGAAATCTGAACGTAAAAAATTTATATGTATGTATATGTATAATTGAATCACTTCGCTGTATACTTGAAACCAACATTCTAAATCAACTACACTTCAATAAAAAAATTTTTAAAAAAAGAAAAAGGAAAAAGCTAATGTTTCAAATCTGACTATTACCTATTTCAAATACCCATAACTTACCACAAGAGAAACCTAGCATTACAAAGATTCGATTGCTTGGGTTATAGCCATTTGCTACAGACCTCAGGGATAATTTACATGTTTTGGTTGCTTTGAAATATTACTTGTAAGATTTGGAAATCATTTTAAGGTAACAGTCACATAAACAACTCTGGTTTGCTAAAAGAATTGTGAATATATTAAATATGTTCATTAAGAGTAAAAGAAAAGATTAAAAAACCCACAATATGATATTATCTTACACCTTTCAGAATGACTATTATCAAAAAGACGAGAAGTAACAAATCTTGGTAAGGATGTGAAGAGAAGAGAACTCTTGCACTCTGCTGGTGAGAATGTAAATCAGTACAGCCACTATGCAAAATAACATGGAGTTCATCAAAACATTTAAAATACAACTACCAATATGATCCAGAAATTCCACTTCTGGGTATTTATGCAAAGAAAAGGAAAACATTAACTCAAAAGGATGTATGTACCCCAGTGTTCACTGCAGCAATATTCCAGATAACGTGACCATATGACTTCCAGAAAAATGTAATGTCATATGAAAATGAAGTATTGATAGTGAGTATAATCCCTTGTATTATCTATAAAACTTTGAACAAACATAACGAGTAAAACTTTATCAATGAATAATGAAAACGAATAGTTTTCTCCTTATCAAATATCTCTTTAAAATTTTTAATAAACTATAAAACTAACTTTCAGGTGTTCTATTTGATTTTCTCATAAGAGGTGAAAATGTTAAAGAGATATGAATGAGTAAAGCAGTGGAAAGAGGGGGAACAGGGTAAGATTCTTAGAAGAAACTGAAAATAAAATATAAAGAACTGGATAGTTTTATATTGCCTCCATTAAATATTTATTGCCATAAAAAATTACCTTCTTTTCTCTCTGCTATAATTGTATTCAATTCCTGTATCGTTGCTTTATCAACAGACATATGTACTTTAAGTTTATCCAATTCTTCTTGAAGATTCATCCTATAAATTAGCACAGTAAACAACTATTTAAATGCATAAGTTAAGGAATAATGTAACAAATATACAAAGGCAGCAAAAATATTTTAAAATATATGAATTAGACAGTAGTAAAATAAAAGC